CCCCCCCCACCCCAAAGAAAAAACGTTTGACAAAATGTGTCGTTCCTTGGCAGAAGAAACACATGAAAAAGTAAATAGAGAAGGGCAAAATGGGAGAAAAGAGCAAACAATCAATTTTTCTAGTGATATAACCTACAAAAACTTAGAAATACTACAGTTTCCCTAATAAAGTGACAAAGTTTTTATCAACCAATGATCATAGACCAGAAGGGTTACCTACTAGACATTCAACTAAATAAAAGAATACAAATCGCCATATCAATAGCAGTTATATAGCACAATGGTATTTACAGTAAATAATAGAGAAGCTCACTCAAGAAAAGCTTGCTCATACATTTACTTAGACACAGATAAATGGTTGCATGCAGGTATCCATTTAAAAAGCCATCAACCCAAGACATCATGCATATAATTGGTAGTATATTCTCCTCAAACATTGAGACTAAAGTCATCTAACAAACATGGTCAGAATGAAATATAATTCAGAACAATGGAAACAATTCTTTTCTTTTTTTTACCAGTAAAGTAGCTCAGCAACGTTCAAAGTTCAGTTACATGTTCCACGCAGCTCAATAATGTCATTACCATGTTTATCTAAATGAAAAACTGTTAAAAAAGTTAACAGAATAATATCACTCGTAAACATGTTACACGTTCAAAGTTAATAGAATGTCAGAAACTGTTAAAAAAGTAAGGATTATATTATAATCTAAATGGACCTAAAATGACATAGTAATCCCATCACTCGTAAATGCTAATAAATTCTATATCTGAAGCGAACTGCAAAATCCTAGTGTTTTCTCTTTCTTGCGGTTCCTAGTTTCTATGTATTACCTAGGAGGCATTGAATCTAGTCAGTTCCAGTGTCCTTTAATATGGATGCTAGCAGATATATAGAGCAGGCAGCATTAAATTAAAACAAGGAGATGATTCATTTCTCAAGTGGAGAGACCGCCAAACACAGCTAAAAGAAAGTCTTACCCGGAGTGGACTTTGTGTTGAAAGTCTTTCCAACACAAAGTTTTCAACAAATGGGTCCATCTCAGCATCTTCGTTTTCAGATGATTCATTTCCATACATCAATAAAGATGATTTTGGAGTCCATGATTTACCAGAATTGACATGAGCAACAAAGGATGCAAGATCCAGTTGATAGCATAATGTATCACAGAGATGCTCCACACACGACTTCTGCCAAAAGCATTGTTCGCTGTTAAACCTTCTCCATCAGTGAATCAAGAAAAACATATCTGAATAAATTTTTTGTAAAGAAACAAAAATTTACCTCATCTGTTTGGGATCCATAAAGAGAAGACTCTTCTAAACGAATAGCTTGGGAGTTACGAGTCCAAAGAAGTCGCATCAATTTTCTCCGGCTAGCTGTTTTGCCAGACAACAGATCCCAGCCCATTGAGGCTACCAATGGCCGAAGTCGAGGAAACAATGAAAGGACCTATTATATGATATAACCAAATGAGATTTTCAAATCCCAGCAAAAAACCAATCCATGTCTGAGTGAGACGCTAAGAAATAAGCAAAACTGCTACAAAATAATGCAATAAGAATAGATAAACAAATAAACAAGAAAAATTCTTGAACAAACAAACGAACTGCACCTACATCATTAGCCTCCTGAAGTTTCTCTTTCTTCACGGCAGATAAAGCAGCATCCATCACACACTCAAGCACATGCAAACCAGAAACACGAGCATAATGATACATGTCTCTAATACAAGAACTAATTGCCACGTTTAAAACCTTGTCTTCTAAATTTCCCTCAGATTTCGATTCTATAAGATGTCTCTGGAATCGCTCAAGAGGCGACAGAATTTGATCATTGTCCAAAGATGGATGCCTTTGGTTATCTTGAAGCAGGATATCGTCTTGCATACCCTGCAGAGGGAACCTTTTATATCACATAAAAGCGGCTGCCACAAGACAACTTTAGTAATGCAATGTATGTGAATGTTTCAACATGTATCCAGAAGCATACCTCCTCCAAACTCAATCAGTCACTGAACTAAAGTATTTTGGGTAAAATATGCCAAATAAATATGTAACAGAACTACACCAACTGGTTCAAGAAATGGCAACTTAGCAAAGGCTACACATTACTCAATCCGACCTCCCCAAGGCAGAAGTGGCTACAAGCATGCTTTCAGTACACATGAAATAAGATCCCTTAGAAAGATGCATTCTTCTCAGCTCTTCAGTGTATACCAAACTATAGTCATCTTGCCCAACCAAACAACTCAAATCAAAATATTTATGTTTTGTTTTCCATTAGAATAACCCCTAAAGCAGCTTACAGGAAACCAGACCGAACTGTAGCCATCTTTACAGACCTAATAAAACAGATTAAAATATTTATTTTCTTTGCCCCTATACGAACAACCACCTAAATCAGCTTGTAGGAAAGTATATCAACCTGGATCATCTGAACAAGATCTTCACAGTTTGATGAGAGAGCTTCTTTATAAATAAAGAGCAATTTCTGGCGCACCATGTGCCAGCTGTCACCAAATCCATTCCTTTTCGACATCACTCTTGAAAGGAGAACTTGTAGAATAGCACTATCAGAAACCAAAATGAAAAACTGTAACAAGTAAATCCTATGTTCTGCAGTTGGCAGATTAAGTACCCAAAAAAGCAAGACATAAAAAGAAAAGAAAAAACAGCAAGGCGTAGAATTATGGAAGCCTTCCCTGGTCAAGGTATTTATGGTCTAATCCATTGTAATTGTTCCCTTTTCAGATTAATGAAATAAGAATTTATGAATGAAGGATTGCAGCAGAAATAAGATGTACTAAAACTAAAAACCAGGTCTTTCAACAAAAACAACATAAAGTTAACTTTTTCCACTGATTGCAAACGTCAACTCCTTCCCCAAACTCACATTCTCATCAGATATACGCCAGATCCAGTTGACAAAAAGAAACAAAACCATAGTCTACTCACAATTCCCAAAAGACACAAGCAGGGGGGATCGTACTTCCACACAGTTTTCTAGGCATCGATCGTAAAGCATAGGAGGGAGATTAATGCTACGAATTTTCATAAATGGGACAGCTAGAATGATCACTCCACAAAACAAATTATAAAGAGCTGACCTCCAGCACGCAATAAGTTCTAAAACCGCAAGTTACATACCGATAGTTCTCTTTTTCTACTCCGTATTCAAGGTGAAGAAAACGAATGTGATTAGCAGCACAATGCTCGTCCGCCTCATCCAAACACTTCTGCATAGCATCCAAATGTGCTAACTGAATATTTCTTTGTATCAAAGCAAACACCTCATTGTCATCCTCCTCTGAAATACCAGCCCAGTTCACCTCCTTTCTCTCGGTTCTTTCTTCTTCTCCCTGATCTGCCTCCTCTTCTATTCTAACTGATTCCATCAAACTGGAGCCATATCTCTCCAAGCCCTTAAGTTGCCTTTCTATATTACCACATAAAGCATCAAAAACATCTGCGTAATCCAAAACAATCCTCCTCAAACACAAAATTTCCCCTTCCTCAATCCCATTACTCCTATTTCCATTAGTATGAGAACCAAACTTCAATCTCTCAACACCTAATTCCAAAACCCTGTGCAAAACCCTAAGACAATCTCCTAATTCTCCATACCCATCTACCATATCATCCCTTCTCTCCAACAGTTCTTCATTCCCCTTCTCTTCAACATCCCCACTCTCACTAGCCAACACAGCCTCCTTCTCCTTCTCAACCCTCTCCGTCACCCGGTCGATCAAAACCTGCACAATCAAAAGGAAATCGGCGCGCAAACGCAGCGTCTCCGAATCGAACCCCCATGGCGATGTAGGATTATCGAATCTCAAGAGCTCGATCGTCGAGAGGAACGCGAGAAGAGAGGGAGACGGGCAAGAGGGTGACCAGAGAACATCATCGAATCTTCCGGCGTTAGAGACGATGGTTCGGAGAATCGAGAGAGCGAGGTCAGGGTCAAGGGCCTTGAGAGCGAGAAGAGTAGCCCGCAATGGCTCGAATTGAGCAAGGTGAAGATGGTTGGCAGAGAGGCGGGAGAGAATCTGGGTCTCCTTGTCCATCGGGAAGTTGATGTCCGATCACAGGTTCCGATCGATCATCGGCGTCATCAAAATGGAACGAGCTCTCCAGAAAAAATTCTCTGTCCGTGGAGGTGGGAAGTTTCTCGTTCGGATTGCTGGTAATTTGCTGCAACCAGAAAACGTCAGTTGTTGATGTTTTTATTTTATTTTTTTTAAAAAACCTCTTTTTTACCATTTGTTTAAAGTAAAATCGATTTATTTAATTTCGGTATTTATATTCAGATTTTTTTTTATTAATAAAAGATTTGTTTTACGATAATTTTTGTATTAAATTTAGCCTTTAGTTAACCTTTTATTGGAATTCTATTTTACAAAATACAATGGGGGGAAATAGTTAGATTCAGCGGGCCTATGGGATGAGTTGTATGGACCAAAGATGGGCCGTCAACGGTCTTATGGGCCGAATATCAGTGGACCGGAAAGTCTATATGGTCCGAAAAAGTTACATTATTCGGTTATTAATATAATAATTAGGGATGGCATCACGCCATAGTTCTTAAAAATCGAATCTTACCCAATCGAAAACATTTGGTGCCATTTTGGGAGTGAACCATCTAAAATTTTTATAAAAAAAAAATCGATTTTTCTGAAATTCATCTAGTTTTTTTTTAAAAGAATATAAAAAATAAAAAAAATAAAAAAATATATAATTTTTTTTTTAAAATTGAATCAAATCGAATCGAATATAATAGAATAATCGATTGGTATATATTTTTATAGAACTGAATAGAATAACGAAACATCCACTAAATATAACACAAACCGAATAGATCTACATCACACATGAGAATTACATCACTGCACTCATTACCATCATCATCGCCTACTTATATGGTCGAATATCGGTAAGAGATGCAAGAAAAAACATCAAGCTCATGTAGGAACCATACAACTTCATCAAATAGAAAACCTATATAACCACATAGCACATGGGGAGTTATCCAAAAAAATGTTCAATACTTCCACCTCATATTTTTTCCAGTGGATATATACATAACTCAAAAATTGGATGATTCAACTGATAAAAGAAAGAATCAAAACTCGTTCTTAACCTGTTTGGAGAAATAATTTTACCAAATACAATGCAACTATTCACCTCGCTACATAAACCGACCAAATCGATGAACTTTCATATATGTGTGTGGGTGTGTTGCTTATTTTATTATCTGTCAAAAAGACACGAGTTGAAAATTTGTAACAGCGCTTGTGATCTAATGATGTCCGTATTTGATTTTGTTTTTCTAAGATTGATACACTTTCCTTGGAGACTGGTCGATCATTGACTTCTGTAATCTATTTTCTTGAGATTGTGACAAGTTTCCATTTTTTTTTTAATTCCTTGAGGTTGCTGGGCATCCCAAAGTAAACCATGAAGACCGACGAATGATTTATGTAAGATTTTTAATTCAAAAATCTAATGAGAATTCATATTTTTTTAGGGTGTAGGATTAATTAATTTTCTTTTAGGAATTTACACAAATTATAAAAAATATTATAACTAAATATTTTTTTAAAAAAGTTATTTTTAAATTTCGATTTTTATCCATAATTTTATTTCCAATTCAAATTTAGCTAATTTAGTTATTATTATTTTTATAAATAATATCTAATCGAATTAATTGCAACTTGATGTTATTTTGTTCCATATTACATAGTGTTTAATAAAAAAAAATCCATTCTAAAATGATTAATGATGAAGGAAGAGTGTTTTACCAAGTAAAGAGACAAAACCATGTTTGAGAATTTCTAAGTAACAAACAAAAAAACACACACGATTTTTTTCCTATTATCAATATCAACATCCTCTGTGCAAAGAAAGAGAAAAAAAAAAAAAAAAAAAAAAAAGAACCAGCTTACAACAGCCCTCCTCTCCTAGATCTTGTCGGATCGGCGAACCGTGAGGAGAAGGATCTAGAGAGATTCTCGGGCTCGTGAGATCCTGACCCTTGATCGAAATTCAACCAGTAATCGGACGGCTCGTATGAAGCCACCTTCACAGAGGAGGAACGAGAAAACGCAGAGGTGCCCTTCATCATCATCATCTTCCTCCATATAACCTTCCACGAGAACCGGAGTCTCTTACTAGCATCATCAGAAGATCCTCTCTGCTCTCTGCAGCTCTTGTTGTTTCCTAAAACGATCACTTCTCTGTAAGAACTTGATGACGAGAAAGAGACGTTCCATTTCTTCTTGCTCGGAGATTGGAACATTATCTCAAGGCTTAATTTCCGGACCGAACGGAAGAGGGATCACTATTATTACAAGTGATGATTGTTTGAGATCAAGTTAGGTGTTATATACACATACACACACACGCATATATATATACACATGAATATGTGTATCTGTACATGTATGTGTGGTTGGGAAATAGATTGGAATGAAATGAAATGAACGCTAAGCTTCGGCTGGCTTATTATTGGGCAGTACACAGGTCAAATATGAATACAAGTCAAATATATATATACATGCATCATGTGTATCAGTGTATGTATAGTTGTGGTTGGCATACAGATGGGAATGAAATGAATGCTGATCTCCGCCGGGCTTATTGAGCAATATACAAGTCAAATATGAGGATGAAAGAAAACATTTTAAATGTTTTGGTTTGACTAATTAAGCAATGTGAAAAATGGTTTCTAAGGCTAGAGGAAGAAACTGGAACTGATAAATGTTGATTTCTTCTTGTAGATACGGTAATTAATTATTTGATTAAAGAAATCACATATTCGTATAAAAATGATGCAAATTTTAAACAATAATGAATTATTGGAGAATTTAATTCGCGATGAAAAATAAATAATTGATGATTTGGTTAAAGTTGTGTAAGAGATTAAATTGAATAATGATTTGAGTATATGGAATCACATGTTACAATGATATGAAACGGCCGGAAGGTCTTCTTTGTCCAGCGGCGGCGAGCCGCCAACACGCACCCTTGACCCTTCTTCCTCATGTTCACGCTTTTTTGGATGAATAAATTTTGTTTATTATTCAAAAACACTAAACAAAATCATTTATCCGAAAATTCCGAATTTAATCTGAAAATTTATCATACCTTCAACCAACTACATCTCAAATTTTACGAGTGAAATTATTATGTATACGTCAAACTTGACTTAGATTTTATCATTCTACGGTCAAATATTTACAAATATTTATAATGTTTTTATATCAAATATGCTTTTAGATTTATATTTAAATATCTACAAATATAGATTCAATTTGCGTTCGAATTCGTGATTTTTTTTTTCACGTACCTAAAATTTGAACCTCTGAATTTTATGAATACAAAATTAGTTTCCCAAATATTTAACATATATCATTTGAATAAATGATTTAAATTTGGATTCGAATAATCAAAGCCTTTGATGCCTATAATATTGTTCTGATTCCTTCATTGCCCAATTTTGTTGGTTCTATGCTTACCAATATTTCCTCCCTCTTACGTATAGACATCCAAAGAGTAATAACTAGAATATTTGTATAAACTTTCCAAATAATATTTTATACATGATATAAATGGATAAATTTATATCGAATTAGTTTAAAAACTATATATTATTTTTCTTTAATTTTAAAAATATGATAGTGAATACATATGGCGTGATAGTAAATTTTTCTATTTTTTCATCATAATTTCCAATATTTTCACTACCTATAAACAAATTGTTTTATATTTTTCAATCTTTAGTTCTGTTATATTTTGTCATTTCGAACAATTCTAATGCCACTATAAACACATTTTCTTATCAAATCCGATTCAAGAGTTTTGCACTCAAATTTCACTCGACAATGTCATTATGATGAATACTAACTTCATTTACATGAAATTAATATTAATTTATATATATAGACTAATGATTTATAATTTTTTATCGAATTATTATTTTCTATAATATTTTCTTTAAAATATATATATATATATCTATATATTAATTCAAAACAACCAAAAAAACAGTTTGGGTGTTGAATGTTGATGAAGATAATTTTTTTTTTTGTCAAATATGACATAGTTCTAATAGAATAATAGTCAAATGAATCTGATCCCTTTAGTAATTAATGTACTTACAAGTCAATTCATTACGTATATGTTTGAATATTTATCTTCATTTATCCAATTTTTTGTAGACATTTTATTCCGACATTAAAACGAGCTGCTGAAAATTTAAAGTTGTAAAAAGTAAAGACTGTGAAAGCCAACACAAAATACCACCAAACGAATATATATGTGTGTGTATATATTTCATTTTTTAATAATGTATTAATTTGGCTTAAATAAAAGAACTAATTAACAAAGTATATTATAAAATGCTGTAAATTCCATTTTCCATTTTAAGCGTATTTTGTTGTCCCGTAGAGTTACACACTTATGCTTCTGTTTTGTTTGTCTTCAGCGTATTTTCATTTTTTTTTCTCTGGTAAAGTCTTCAGCTTATTTTCTGCAGTGAAAAGTAAATTTTATTCAAATAATTTAAGATATTTAAGCAAATGTAATGTAAGTAACTATTCAAAACATAATTTTTCATGAAAACGGAATAAAAGATTTTATGGTATAAAAGAAATATGAATGTTTAGAAAATCTACGTCGATACAGTTTAAAAGAACCAATCCGTAATAAATTGATAGGATTGCGATTAGTGATAGTCATTTCGATTATTAACCGAATGACAACAATTCGGTTCAGTTCGATTATTCGTTTAATAACTGATCGGTTGAGTAAGTTCAATAATTATTCAGATTTAGTTCAGTTTGGTCATTAATTGAATAATCGCGATTAATTAAATAGTTATTAGGGTTTAATTTAATTTTTAATGTTTTACCCTAGATATTTAATTTTTTTTACAATTTCACTCTCACTTATCACTCATCTTTTAATTTTTAATGATTAAAAGTTAACTTCTTTCATTTGATTAAAATCTCACTTTTAGATATATTATACATTTTTTTATGTCTTTATTTTATTAGTTATACATTTGTTATGTCTTTATTTTATTAGTTTGAAACAAATGAAGATGAAAATATGGTAAGGTTGAAATTTTTGAAGATTTTTAAAGATTTTGTGGTTTAAGATTTAGATTGATCATTTTAGAAGATTAATATTTTGTAATTTGATTTGTATTGATCATTTTGGAGGATTAATATTAATATTATGATGGAATTTGAAATTTTTGAAGATTTGTTTTGTAATTCTTTTCATATATGTTAATATTTATTTATAATCGAACTAAACTGAATCAGATCAAACCGAACCAATCCGAATTAAATTGTTTGGTTATAATTTTATTGTGTTGAAATCGAGCCGAACTGGTTAACTTTACATAACTGTTCGGTTATGATTTCTTTATAACCGAATTGAACCGGAAATAATCAAATAAAAAATCGAACCGAAATCCGAAATGACTACCTCTAATTGCGATATTTCAAGAATTTGTAAAAAAAAAATCTACAATATAATTGGTTATAAAATATATTTTAAAAATTTTATTACTCATTTCTATTGGAAGAAAACTACAAGTTTAAAATACAATTTTATTGTATATTCTTCAGGGTTGAGCCGCTAATATATACATTAAAGGACACTGATTGGTAATAAAGAACATCTTCATATTCATCTATGTTTTCACACGTCAAAAGGGTGAGTGTCGAATTCTTCTACAGGTATACTTGGATGCTTTCTTTCTTGTTCATAGTCTAAATCCCCTTGTATTCTCAAAGTTCATTGATGTCCAAGATTCAAATAATGATCAATATAGATTCGATGATCTGAAAAACATGTGTTTGAGGTTACATAATCCCAATATCACGGGTACCGCTCCATATCCAACTTTACAATTCGTAAAAAAAAAAATATATATATCTCACTTTTCGCCATGAATCCTATTGTATTCGATTTTCTCGAGTTTCAATTTAAGTGTCTTGGTCGGGACGATACCGACAATACACTACTAGACCACAAGTTCCGATGTGTTTCCAACGACATTGACAAACCCCGAGATCCATCAACAAATTTGAAAAGAAACCGAAAAAAAAATGCAGCTGAAAATACAAAGTAAAACACAATTTTTTTTTGATAATCTGAAACATCACCAAATATTTGGTCTAACTACATCTCTCAAGTGATTGAGAAAGTTTGGATGATATCGCCTTCCACACTTGAATTTAAATTCGGTATAATAATATATTTTGAATATTCCCAAACCACAACCAATCTTGGATTTAAAAAAAAATACGCAACAAAAACACAACTAGACAAAGCATGATGATCTCACTGTCGATCTCCTCCGAACCCTGCTGTCGCAGAAACTGTCTTAAGTCAAAAGCGAAGAAGCAAGGATTTTATTCAAACCTAATTAGTGAATCGAGTCGGTTCAGATGCACCAAGCAAAATTTATAGTTCCACAGAATAAACCGGACATAATCCAGACCTTCTAACCGAAACGGAGGCTTCCGTCTCCTTCCCTTCCAACAATTTTCATCTTTTTTAATAACCGTAGTACAAGTAGACCAAACCTTATCCAATCGCATATATAGAACGACATCAGAATAAGAGTTCAAATCTTAAATATGAAATTTACATGGACTTCACGTGCTATTGATATTAATGAAACCACTTTGCAACATTAAAAAACACACTACATTGTAACCACTCGGTTATGTAAAATGAGATAAAAAAAAATGTCCTTAAATAAAAGAAGAAAATATGTTTGTTTGGTCCACCTCTTCAACCGTCCGTGAACCTCTATGATTTCAATATAATATATATATATATATATATATATATATATATATATCATTCTAATTTACTTTTAACATGTTATACAATAATATATATCAAGAATTTAAGAATCGGAAGTGGTTGATCACGAGCGGCGAGGGAACACACACCCCAGCGAGTGATATATATATATATATATATTGTGTAAAAAAATACGACATTCTCATGGTTAGAAGCTTACATTACTCTACACGACAAAACTTCACTGCCAAATACTCACTCCTCACCTGCTACTACTACTTATCTCTCCTCCTCAGAACGACGAAGGCAGCTCCCTAAACGACGTCGCTTCCATGTCTCTCTCACTTCCTCTCTTGCCACCTCCGGCGGATTCTCCGGCCGCCACGTCATCTTCTCCTCCTCCTCCGCTGTTGCCGTTGACCCCTCTCCTCCCTCCCCTTCTTCCGCCTCTCTCTTCTCCTCCTCCGCTGCCCTCGGCTCCACCACCCTCCGTCGCATCCCCGCCTCCTCCTCTGTCGGAATCTCCGTTATCTCCTCCTCCGTTAACCTCCGCTTCACCGCCATTGCCGTCCTTTCCCGCCGAATCGCCTCCTCCTCCTGCAATCTCAGCTCCACCGCCATTGCCTTCATTTCCCGCCAAATCACCTCCGCCTCCGCTCCGCTCTGCTACATTGCCGCCGCAACCTCAACCGGAGACGCCGACGACAATTTCTCCGCCGCCACCAACTCTTCGCCGCCGTGGTCCTCCGTCGTCGTTGCTTCCTCCTCCCGCAGATCCTTCTCCCCCATCTCCTCCTGAACCATCCCCGAGCATCCCATTTCTTCCGGACGCTTCTCCTCCTCCTCCGAAGACATCGTTTCTGCCGCCGTCCGCTCCGTCGCCGAAGAACTCGCCGGCGGCAACGCTTCCTTTCTTTGGGCCGGTGGGCTCAGTGCCATTGAAGCCCAATGGGCCGTTAACACCGCCTCTCGGTCCCGTTACAGAGCCCAAGAATGGTCCTAGAGAATCTGGTTTCCCGGCGACTGCTTCTCCGCCGTCACTTTTGCCACTGGTGCCGAAGAGTCTTTCCGAAACGGCGTCGTATCACCGCCCCTCTGCCGGATTTTTATTCGGCGGCGTCATCATCGGAGTTCTTCTGCTTGTTCTGCTGGGTCTCCTGTTTGTCTTCTACAGAGCAACCAGAAATGGAAAAGGAAGGTCAGAGAATGGTCGTTCAGACAATGTACCAAAAGGTGAGAATTCGATTTTCTTACCCAACAAGAACCTTTTTCTTCTGGTGCTGCTGTTTGTCCGAGTCATGAACTCTCTAGTTGTCTTTATCTTCCTGAGTTAATATTCTCTCAAACGTACTCGGAATTTGTGGGAGACCAGTTTAGGGTTCATGTTGATTGCTTTGATCACCTCAAATGCTTCTGAAAATGGTACCATCATAGAATAGACAGAGGAAAAAGGGATAATAACAAAAAGAGACACTTTCGGTTTCAAGTTAAAGATTTTTAAAGAATTCCAATGTTATTTAGGGCAAGTTCAGATTTTCTGATAGTTTTCTCGTACAAAAATGGATTCCATTCCACCATTGTGTGACATCTTTGTCTATATTTCAATCAGTTCAACGTCAAGATGGAAATGCCGTTCGAGGGGGAACACACTCTGTTACAGCGCCATTTCCTCCACAGCATACACCAAGTGTTGGCTTCAGTACAAGAGACAATGGCTCTGTGGCATTTCAGAACTTTCAAACCCGAACAGCAACTACTCCTGCTGTTAACATTACAGTGTCCAGCGGAACATTCACGTATGATGAACTGTTTGAAGCCACCACTGGTTTCTCAGATAGTAACCTTCTTGGACAAGGTGGATTTGGGTATGTCCACAAGGGAGTGCTGAAAAACGGGAGAGAAGTTGCGGTGAAGCAGTTGAAGATCGGGAGCCATCAGGGGGAAAGAGAATTCCATGCCGAGGTTGACACCATCAGTAGAGTTCATCATAAACACCTCGTTTCGCTGGTCGGGTATTGCATTAATGCTGATAAAAGGCTGTTAGTTTATGAATTTGTTCCCAACAATACCTTGGAATTTCACTTACACGGTAAAGATGATATATCCTCAGAGACTTCCTATTATCTTTTTATCTATCTGTTCTATCTTTTGCTCGTCCACTTATCTTTTCACTGAGTATTTGGAGCATATGCGTTGAAGGAGACGGGAGGCATGTCTTGGAGTGGGGAACGAGGTTAAAGATTGCTCTAGGAGCAGCGAAAGGATTAGCATATCTTCACGAGGACTGTGAGATTCTTGATGCATTAACTAACATATTGTAAGCATTGAACGAAGGATCGGACGAAATTGGAGTTTTACAGAAGATGGATCCGGACCGATTCCACCTGGAAACGGACCGGATCCAAACGCAGCCTTCCGAAGACGGATTTTTACAGAAGGTGGATCCGGACCGATTCCACCTGGAAGCGGACCGGATCCTAACACGGTCTTGCGAAGACAAACTGGAAACGGACCGATTCCACCTGGAATCGGACCGGATCCAGTCTCTGAGCAAATCAGACGTTTTTCACATCCATGTACCCGATTCTTCTACGAACGTCTCCCGGAAGATAGCTTGCTGAATTCTCTGCTCGTGTTATCTCTTGTTATATTGTAGGTAGTCCGACCATAATTCATCGCGATATAAAAGCTGCTAACATTCTTCTTGATTCCAACTTCGAGGCAAAGGTGAGAGAGAGAGTATTATCTCCCTTTTCCGAGACCCATTTCCGCTAATATAATTTGAGCATATGTCATATGAAGACACAACTAGTTAAGTTGTTTACCACTTTTTAGTTTTGTTTTTCTCTTTTCAGGTCTCAGACTTTGGACTAGCGAGGTTCTTCTCAGACACCAATTCTTCCATCACCCACGTATCGACTCGAGTGGTAGGAACGTTCGGGTAAACCTTCTACCATTAATCAGTTTTCACATTCCCATGTTTTTTTATATAGTTAGACTCAAAGATGATTGATCTCAGAACTGCAAACTCTTAAAAAAAAAACAGCTTACCCTAGCATACTTTCTATATCCATCAAAGCCACTCGATGATGTCCAGTTTTCTTTACAGGTATATGGCTCCAGAATACGCATCCAGCGGCAAACTAACCGAAAAATCAGATGTATATTCCTTTGGCGTCGTACTCCTAGAGCTCATCACTGGGCGTCTCCCGATTTTTCCGAAAAATCCTTTCACAAACCAGAGCTTAGTTGACTGGGTGAGTAATAGCCCTTCATACACTATGTGGTGATCTCTTCGGATTTTTCTTATCTCCAATGGAGAATGAAGTGGATGTATTCTCTGTGGAACCACAAACATGAATCTATATGTCATCCAGGAACCATCATGCCCGAGAAAACCTATCTAGTCTTATCCTTGTCTACTTAAACTTGACTGTGAATGTCGACTTTCTCAGGCGAGGCCTTTGCTTGCCAAAGCACTTGCCGAAGAAAATCCCGATCCTCTTGTGGACCCGAATCTGCAAAGAGATTATGACGCTGCTCAAATGGTTAACATGGTTGCTTGCGCCGCTGCTTGCCTTCGCCCATCAGCCTGGATTCGACCTCGGATGAGCCAGGTCCGCCTTTTTCATTTTTCTGGTCTCCCCCTCAACAGAATTCTCTGGACGGAGTAGTGATAAGATTATTTTTTTTAACATGAATCTATCCCACAAAATAAGTGTCAAAATCTAAAATGCAGACATGATCTGGTCTGGTCTTAATTTTTAATCCACTTATGTCCTTTATCCAGATACAAAATATATAACATCACCTTTATAAGATGAATTATATAAATATGGTTTTAAGACCCGAGATTTCGATCTCGTCCTCGGGTAAAGAACTCATTCTGGAAACTGGACAGGTGGTTCGTGCCCTGGAAGGAGAGGTTTCCCTCGTGAATCCCGAAGAAACGGGACAGAGCATGACTTACAGTTCTTCCGAAATGCCGAGTAACGTTTGGAGAACAAGCATGAGGAGATTCGAATCGGGTTCGACGGGGAACAACACCTCAGAATATGGAATCAACCTATCCGTTTCAAGCAGCGAAACTCACACCAGACCAGAGTGAGTGATCATCACTTAGCAGCAGCTTCTGAAAGAAGCTACCACTCGGTTAACAAAATGATCGAACCGGAACCGGTAACCGGTTCGAGATGATTTCGTACCAAAGCTGACCGGTGCATTCATTCCTGGTGCGAAAGTGTTGTAGGTTTGGGGGCGGGGGGCGGGGGTTGCCTTATGAATAAAAGGTTTATCATTTGTAAGTTCTTCATTGCGATGTGATGTCCAGTTTTATTCTTATTTCACATGTTCCTGAAACCAATCATTCCTTCAAATGTGTCGTTTTGAGTTTGGTGATGTAATTCGATTTTCGCTATATAAAGATCCATTACCAATTTACTGACAATTGCAAAGTTGTTTTCTAATCTTTTTTAAATTGCAATATTATCTTTAATTTTTTTTAGAAAATATAAGAATATTGTTATGTAGTAAAAGTCATAACATTATCTATTAGATTGAAATATTCTGAATCTGTACATATAAGATTGGATTAAATTTTAATATTTTAATATTTAATTTTTTGGACTGAAATGTTGTCTCCAAATTTTTTTGGAAGTTTACATCGGATATGGAAAGTATATTCACCAATAAAATAGACAAATTGACAAGTTTAAGACCATTCATGGAATTTTTTTTTTAATAATCGGTATCTACTATGCCCATCAATTTAAAATCGTATTTCAAAACAAAATACAATAAAAAAAAATCATTGCTAAAGAGATTTGCAATTTTAGTTGTATTATATGTTATCAATTTTAGTTGTATTATATAAAAAAACTTTGTAATTTTAGTTGTATGTTATCAATCTATAGGATGCTAATTCTCAGCATTGTAAAAAGTTGATTTTTTGACAGTTTTTTAGATGGAAAACAACAAACTGTTAGATATTTTTTGTTATTATTTACAATTGAATGAGTTTAAAATGGATAATTTATTTTTTAGTAGATTTTTTTAATTTTATGAATAAAACTAAACTAAATAAACATCTTGTATATGTAATTTTTTTGTAGATCAAATTAAATAAAAATATCACAAAAATCTAATAAAAACAGTATAGAAGTGGACAGGAGATGATTATCTCAATGAATTGATACTACTACTACAACTCCAACAAGCTAATATAATTTTGAATGTGATTAAAATAATTAATTTTTTTAAAGATCTGATATTAGTAATATCCGTAAGTTTAAACCATTAAAAAACAAATAAAAAACCTCAATTATCTCATCCATTATTTATTGGTTTCGTGCCAGTCAAACACGCTACGCATTAAACCATCAACTTGTACTTAATTACGGTTCTACCATATTGCTGACGTGTCTGTCTATTTGTTTAATATTTTCCATCGTTTTCTAGGCAGATCCTTTCCGAGAATCTTTTTTTAGTTTGGCTCTAGAAAATCTTCAAATACGAGTTTCATCATGCACTTTGTCGCCTGATGCCGCGGTAAACAAGTCAGATCGTAAACGCACCACAGCTTCGTTGCATTTCTCCTTCTCCTCCGTCATCTTCGTTCGAGGGATCGTTTCTGTGTCCTGACGCTTTTGTCTTCTCGGGATCCGAACTGGTTCACATGTTCCCGGTTTCTTGCTACGTTTTTGTTATTTTGTTGTTCAAACGATTATGTGCAATTCGCTGGTTGTAATTCTGCTCCTCCGTTTCGTATTAATAGAATCGATTTTTTGAGCGAAATTTGTGATTGTTATTTCGTACAAATTTCTGGAATTGAGAATACGATGGTTGGGTTTGTATCGAAATGGTGGGTTCTGAGATCGGTACTCGTGATCGCGGTCAATTTTGCTCTAACTTTCGCCCTTACCTCTGCGGAGAGGAACTTGGAAGGTACTGCTTCGAAGGTTGATTCAGAAATGCAGGAGGTTTTTCACAATTACTTCCTCAGAGCAGTGGATTTCCTATGGAGATCTGACGAAAGAGGTTATCACCATGTTTGGCCTCGTAAGTTGCTCATTCTCTGACAAAATTTTCGATCGACACATACGCCCGAATTTTTGTCTGATCGGGGAGTCGGCCCGTTGAGTAGTGAATTTTTTGTTCGATAAAGAAAAAAAACATCTTTTTGTTCAGGAGATGGAACTTAACTTGCAAATCTGGTGGGTACTCTTATTGGATTCTTTGGGGCAGCATTTGGTAGCGTAGGGGGCGTTTGTGGTGGTGGTGGTATCTTTGTACCAATGCTCAGCTTGATCATTGGGTTTGATCCAAAGTCTGCCACTGCAATTTCGAAATGTAAGAGGTGCATGAATCTATGTCATATGAATGATGCAGATGAATAAACTCTTCATGTTCTTCTTGAGAAGCTTAGTTTTCAAGTTTTATGACATGAATGTTGTCGTTTTAGGCATGATCATGGGTGCTGCTGTGTCAACTGTATATTACAACATTAGATTGCGTCATCCTACGCTCGATATGCCCATCATCGACTATGATCTCGCTTTGCTGATCCAGCCAATGTTGATGCTTGGAATCAGTATTGGGGTTGCCTTCAATGTGATTTTTGCGGATTGGATGGTCACAGTTCTACTCATCATTCTCTTTTTAGGTGATAATCAGTTCATCTGCCAATACAATGCTTTTCTGTGGGTGAGAGTATTCCCTGGTTAAACCTAGCTGATGCATTTGCATTATGTATTCAGGCACATCAACAAATGCATTCTTGAAGGGCTGTGAGACATGGAAAAAGGAAATCATAGAAAAGAAGGTACTTTGTTAACTTTAACCGTCATTCCATGTACAGTGTTAGACTTGAAATCGTCCTTTGTACTAGTGACCTCCTATCTGTTCAGAGCAGTGGTTGCATGAATAATCTAACACCTCAAAGAGGCCGTGTCATATATAAAGTTAGATGATATGTACCCTGATACAACATTGATGTCTATTGTTTTGTGCTAAAGGAAGCTGCTAAGCGTTTGGAGTCAAGTGGTGAGCGGAATTTTTCGGTGTAAACATATCTTGGTAATCGGTTTCTTGGAAAAACATTAGTTCATGCACCCATTTTGTCCGTCAGGAGTCTCTGGTACTGAGGTGGAATACAGGCCTCTTCCAGCCGCTCCTCCTGGAAAGGAAAGGAAGGAATAGGTAAATGCCATTCTCTTTGCAGTTTGGTATTCGCAAGTTATCTTTCTCGATTAACCATTTAATTGCAGGTATCTATTCTTGAAAATGTCTGCTGGAAGGAACTCGGGCTTCTAGTTTTTGTTTGGGTTGCATCCCTAGCACTGCAGATAGCTAAGTTTATCTATTACTCTGATCCATATGTTTTAATCGATCATGCTTGCTCATGTTCAATTTTTTCTAATAGTTTTCGTGTTCCATTTTGGAAAATAGCAACACACAACTACTTGTTCAGCAGTATATTGGGTCGTCAATTTGTTACAGGAGTGAAATCTATAATGTTATTCTGATCTCTCTGCTGCGAGATTCATGGACTGTGTCGGGATGTTTACATTTTCATGTTTTCATATAGATTCCTGTATCAGCACATGAGGCTGTAGCACTATACCAGGGTAGACGAGTAATTGCATCCAAGGGCTAAGCAGGCACAAACTTTACTGTGATCCAGCTTCTTCTTTACTGTACATTTGGCGTATTGGCAGGCATAGTCAGAGGCCTACTTGGTTTAGGAGGCGGTTTCATCATGGGTCCATTATTCCTGGAGGTCGGGGTTTCTCCTCAGGTATGCAATGCATAATTACTAACCTTTGGATTCACGCTGAAGCTAAACGGTATACTCTAGGAGATGTGACATATTATACAATGCTACGACTGAGCATCAACAGTTCATGTTTCACTAGGCTAAGGGTACAGATGAATTCACAACATCACCATGAAATAAAATGTAAAATGAGATTGTGGAGTTTATACATGTAGAGATTAATTCTATCACTAATTCTTCTTTGGTTCTACTTTTTCTTTTGTGATTTACAGGTTTCAAGTGCTACTGTCACTTTTGCCATGACTTTCTCCTCGTCCATGTCTCTCGTAGAATACTATCTTCTCAAGCGTTTCCCTGTCCCATACGGTGAGTTTTCTCTCATTCCCATCTTACCAACATCCAAGAAGAAAATGTCAAAATCTTTTTTTAAAAAAATTGGGTCAATGAAATTTCTCGGTATTTCAGCATTAAGCCCTCTTGAACAACTTATCATTTTATCAATGCAACGGCTCTCTACTTTGTGGGAGTGGCAACGATTGCTGCATTTGTTGGACAGCATGTGGTGAGAAGGCTGATTGCAGTGCTTGGGCGTGCATCCCTCATCATTTTCATTCTCGCCTCCATGATCTTTATCAGCGCTGTCGCTAGGTATATGATCTTCCTACCTTTCATTTCTTTACTTTCTCTTGCTCTACTCCGGGTGATCTGGATGTTTGTTATGGATATTCTGTATATGCATTTTATAATCAAAACGTACAAAATTGTGGATTGCAAACAAAACATTTACAAGATTTGAATTCATGTTAGAAAATGAGTAAGAAGAAAGATGTTTAACAGTTTAAGATAGATCTTTTTTTCTTGTTTTGATCTTCTGTTTTTTGTTTTCCCTCTGGTTCGTAGGTGGGGTTGGCATTTCTAACATGATCGGCAAAATGCAGCGGAATGAATACATGGGTTTTGAAAACCTTTGCATGTACGATACTTGACAACTTTTGATGATAACTCTTTCAATGCCAAATGGGCAAAAGGTTCTATTACTCAGTCCCTTTGGAATTCATTAAAAGGACCGAAGACCCTCGGTTTGTAACTTATCTTGTTCCCATTCTTTCGGATAATTGCTAAATGTATATTAATAGATAACTATGCAAAAGAGGGGAATGGTGGCTAAAGGGATTGCAAAAGCATAAAATAAAAGGAAGGTCTTGTATTTCTCGGAGATTGATCCAAGAAGGTCACTAATGTCCTTTAAGCATATGGATGTCAGGTCTAGTGCCACGTGAAGATCTGCAAACAAACAAGGGAGGACCAAACCATGGTGAGGTATAACCACAGGTAAGGAAATGATGAGAGTTTGTTTCACTTTCATAACCTGTAGGGGCAGAGGAGGTAGGCAGGAAGAGATGGGCCCAGAAGTTATAGACGAGAGAAGGCGAGATCACGGGCTGTGAATGGATGCCGAGGGACCGATGGAGGTGTCGGATAAAGGGCCTGTCATGTTCTACTTAGGGAGAAGAGATGGAACTCGAGGTTGGTATATGTTACTCCTCATCGACCAAATATGGGATTGGTTGATGATGCCTCATAAAGCTATTCTTCTCTCAATAAACTAGTTTTCGGAGTGAGTTCTACTATTGGAAGAGTTCATTTCACTATTCTCCTCTTGAAAGAGAAAGATGGGCGGCATAGAGGTACGCTATATTTGTTAGATACATGATTTCAGATTTTCGGAATGGAGCGAGAGAGATTTACACGACTTTTAGGAGCTTCTTCCATGCCCAAATGGTCGTAAGGTCGAGTAAAAATCTTCGTTTTCGATCTCAAGTGCTTGCTGGAACATGATCTAAGAAGATTAGGCAAAGACAGAGAGATCCGACTCCAGTACATAACATCTAACTTGACAAGTTTACTCGAATAGAAGCTTAACACTAAACTATGCGCCACCATTGTGTTTTTTTCGAGGAGAGAACCTCAAACTTCTCACTGAGAGATTTGGTGATAAATCAAGAGTATTACTATGTAGGAAAAAAACTTGGAAACATAGTCCATGTATTGAAGAATATTACTTGTTTCTAATATTTTCATTTCGATTTTTCATTCATGCCCTCGAGTTTTTTTATAACTCGAAAGTCTATCCCACCTTTGATCCAAATATATCTTCGAAGGTACAGAAGCAATTTGTGTACTGCAATTAAATTACACACTCCTTCCCAATCTGCTCTGTTCGAATATGAAACCTTTGGAACATATGACACTTCAATCACACTTTATAAACAAAACTACACCACTCGTTCTCGCCTTTTCGATACTTCAAGTTGTTCTTAAAAAATGCGAATTGGTCCTTTTTAATGATATGTGTTTCGTTTTATTTTCTTTTTTGTAATTAAAATTTTATATTTTATTCTAAATAAATTTGGGATTACGGCGATATTGTTGATATAATTAAAATTTCATATTTTGGGGTAATTTTATATACATCCGGATTATTTTTGTATAAAACCTTAAATATTTTTTAAAAATAATTTATATTGAATGTAAAAAAGATGTGTGTATAGTAACATAAGCATATCATACTCGAATTCGATGCAAGTTGACTCCATTGTTTGCATTCATCAATGTAACGTTTGTATTGTTTATTCCATGTACTTTGACGTTTATAGGATCCAATAAATGTATCCGTTCCTATTTCATTGTGTTGATGTAATGTAAGCACAAAAAAATGGCTTTACCGGCTTACAATCTTGGGTTTTATTGATCAAATTAAAAATAAGAACGAAATTCGTAATGTTAAAGAAATTAATAGTTGGGTTCCGAATTTGGACGGAAGTAGAAAACGAGTCTCGTTTCTATTGCTGCCGCAGCGAGCACCAACGCTTATAATTCCCACTTCCCCTCAAAACCCTAGCGTATCTCTCTCTCTCTCTCTCTCTCTCTCTCTCTCTCTCTCTCTCTTCGAAGCAACAATGGCGGGCCAATTTTTGGACGAAGCGACAACGAAAGAGGTTCTTCGCCAGGTCTGAGCTTGTCTTCCTCGGGTGTTTTGGCTTTTGTTTTTTCGTGCTCTGTGGATTCTTGGGTGAAACATGAGATACTCATGTCCTGACGGAGCTATGATTTTCAGGTGGAGTTCTACTTCAGCGACAGTAATCTTCCAATCGATGATTTTCTCAAGAAAACCGTCACTGAAAGCGAGGATGGAAGTAAGTTGAATTTCCGAACGATATCTCTGTCGGTTTCTTCCGGTCGGGAAGTTGTTCATCTGCAAACTTAGTGCGGATCGGAGAAGTATCAGACTTATCTGCATTTTATGGTTGTAACCATCCTATTACAGAAAGATAAAAGTATTTGCGTTTTGAAATTCTATGTCGGGTTTTTCACACGAACTGTATGTAGAGTAACAGCATAATACTGGGTTCATGTTCTGCTAATTAGGGTTAGATGAATTGATTTGATAGTGGTGCTCATTTTTTCTGCATTGATCTTGCTTTTCTTTTTTTTGTAAGCAGTGGTTAGTTTGGCATTGATATGCTCCTTCAGTAAGATGAGAGGTTATTTGAAGCTGGGTGATACAAAAGCAGAGGACATTCCGGAAGATAAACTGAAGGCTGTTGCTGAGACTCTTCGGACCTCTTCGGCCCTCAAGGTTTCAGAAGATGGTGAGTTGATGCTACTTTCCGGCAGCATTATCTTCTTCGCATTATTGAATATATATATATATATATATATATATATATATATGAATTATGCTATTTGAGGTGTTAATCTCTGTTGGGAAGAGTGACTTAGTTGAGAAGTGTCAGCGATCCTGAGTCCTGAGTGTGTTCTATATTTGCTACACAGATTTGGTTGTTAAATGTGATGCTGCCTAGGTTTTGGAGGAGTATATTGTATTGTTTACTCAGGTGAATGGTATATGTTGGAATTAGCTCAGGAATCATATCTTTTTTTGGCTTGCTTAACACAGGGAAGAAGGTTGGTAGGGGCTCAACATTGTTGAAGCTGGAAGAGTTAATGGAGCAACTAAATGTGAGAACCATAGCTGCATCACCGTTTGCATATGATGCTAAAAGGGAAGACTTGGAAACCTTTTTTGGTCATTATGGACAGGTATCTTCCACAGCCTAAGTCAATGTAGACAAGCTTTACATCGGTGACTATTCAAATGTGTTGAAAATGCTAATTCAAGCCAGTCTCCCCGCACTTTTCGTGATACTGTTATTGATTAGTGTCACATCAGCATGTTGATTTTGCGCTAGATTCTTAATTTAACGCTTTTCGCTTCTCCAGATACGCATGCAAGCATGGCTATATAAATGGTGATGCAAATTCATAATATATGTTTTTTCTTGCCATTTTAGGTTAATAGTTTGAGGTTGCCCCGTCATGCAGCAGACAAGAGGATATTTTGTGGCACTGCCTTGGTTGAGTTCTCTTCTGAAGATGAGGCCCAAAAGGTTTTGAAGCAGAATTTGGTCTATGCGGGCTTGGAGTTGGAAATGAAACCAAAGTAATCCTACTTATGTGTGTGGACTTGTCATCTGCGATATGCTTGTCTCTTATATATGTGCCGAACTTGCTATGAACTTGTTGGATGCCTTATGGAAATGTGATGTTTCCTTTTCAGGATGGAATTTGATGATGAAAGGGAAAAAGATGAAGAAAAATTTGCTAGTTTCCGCTCCCAAAAGGGTTCGAATAATAAGAATGGTTCTGGTTCCGAAGCAAAGTAAGGATCATTTGGCTATTATTATAGATCTGTTAAATTTGTGATTTCTCATTGCTACGATTATCTGTGGTCTGATTTCGACCCATGAATGGCATAGTTATCCCAAGGGTTTGATAGTTTCGTTCACGCTTAAGCGCTCGGCTGAAGGGGATTCTACAGAAGCAAACAGTTCTGAGGAGCCATCGAAAAATACTGTGGATGGAAGCGAATCAAAACCATCAGATAATGTTGATGATAAAGAGAACGCTGGTGTGGATGAAGATGATGAGAAGTCTTCTGGTGTTTCTCTCGGAAATGGGGAGAAAGAAGAAAAAGGAGCAGCAAGAGTCCATAAGGACAATAAGAATGTTGTGTTGCGTGAAGACCTCAAGGCTGTTTTTGGAAAATTTGGTGATATCAAGGTACTCTGACAATTCCTTTATTTCTTTGATATTGCCTATGTTCCAGATTTTGTTTAGTAATGTTGGTTATATATTATATTTTACATTGTTTCCGGTCAAGTTGACATGACTTACCGACTAATAAAAAATTGAGTGTCTTCATTTTTCATTCCCTTGTATTCAGGGAGGGTACTAACAATGTTTCCTTGTATTCCTGTGATCATGAAGTATGTCGATTTCATGATGGGATCTGAGTCAGGATACATTCGGTTCGATGAACCTGAAGCATCTCAGAAAGCTCGTGCTGCAGCTGTTTTAGCTCAAGAAGGTGGATTAGCCGTGAAGAATTTTATAGCTGTCCTAGAACCTGTTACTGGTAAAAGCTTACCAATTCTCATTTGATTTTACCCGTATTAATATAAACCCTCTGACTCTGATAGATTCCATTCAAACGGTAATGGGTTCCAAGTAAATTTGGTTTGTCGGGTTTTTTACATGGTTTGTTGATTGGTATACTGTCAGGCGAAGCCGAGAAGGAGTACTGGGACCGTATCCGTGGTGATGGAGACCGGTTCTTTAACAAGGGTGGCCGAGGGAGGTCAGTACAAACTCATATTATGCCATATTCGAGAACGTTATACCGATTAAAAGACTTGTACCAATCCCCTGAGTGACTCGGGCTGAGTCCCAATAGTAATTCGGTTACTCGTTGGCTTATGGGTTGTGGTATATTTTCGGGTGCAGGGGAGGAAAGCATCATAAAGGAGGAAGGTTCGGGCGAAAGAGAGGGTCGGATTCCCCGAGGGGCCGTCCAAACAAGGCTCAGAAAGCTTGAGAGCACAAGAGAGGGGGTTAGCTTTATGAATCGATTTGCCTCTCTTTTGTTTTTGTTTTTGTTTTGGTAAACCTTGTTTTTCCCCATATGCTTTTGCTTTTGAGTCGCAATGTTCTGAAAGCTTATTTACTTGTGGCTGTGTTCCACTGTTGACAAAAAAACAAATGGTCGCAGTTTTAGAGTTATTGAAGCTGCAATTGCGATGGCAAAGGCAAAAACTTTTGAGGTATTTCATTTTGGAAAAGGCTCGATCAAGTGTCTTTGACGTGGTATGTGTAACCTTACGTTATATAAAATTATTATCAATAAATTTTAATAATAACAATAGTAATAATTTATTATAGCATACATATAATACATTTATATATATATATATGTATGTCTACATGCATGTATTATGTATGTGTATACGTATGTATTTATAATTAATTTTTAAAAAACTTTTTAATGATGTCAAAATCTACAGTTGATATTTTTAACACAGTTTGTAGTGATAAAAGTTCTAGATAAAAAAATTAAAAATGTTTAATTTTTTTTTATCAAATTTTAAAAATTTTGTATCAGTTTGAAAATCGAAAAATTTAGTATAAATATATTAGTTATGTCAACCATTTTTTTTTGGATTTTCCTTTTTTTTCGCATTCTTTATATATTTTTCTTTTATTATTTTTTTCAGATAGTTTTTCTTTTATTTCTTTATTCATTCATATCATCCCACATGAGCCGTTTGGGTTTTTAATTACGTCATAAAGTTACAACAATAAGTGGAAATTAATATTTAAGTTACTAAGCTGCGATACTGTAATTAATGGCTTTTAGTAGGTATGGATAGGATAAAATGTTATGGTTATGGCTAATCCCACAATAAATTTAAATTTAAAGTTGTAACCAAACATGAATTAAATGTGTAATACGAGTGGTTCGTTCTTATTATGTTTTACAATTAACAATATTATTTCGAGATTTTTCATTATTTTTTGCATAAAATTGCTTCCAGCTGTTGAGTAATTTAAATATTATTTCGGAAATTTAAATCGACCGGAAAAATAAAATTAGGCGCAATAAATCCTATAATAATAATAATATAATAATAATAATAATAAAAGGCGTGGAAATGGAACTTTTTCTAAAGACGAGATTCGGAACTTGAAATGAACGGCTAAGATCATCTCACGCTTCGATCTCCGCCGTTTGTAATAACACTTGGAAGAAACTTTGACAACTGCGATTTCCGCCTCTTCATTGTTTGAATCTCTCTCTCTCTCTCTCTCTCTCTCTCTCTCTCTCTCCTTCGTCGTTTTTTGGCTGAGTTTTAGTCGTCGATCAACGTGAAACCTTTGGATCTCTATCTTTTGAATCCTCCTTGTTGGGTTATCTCTGCTGTTCTCCCTTTGAAAGTCCCTTGCTGGTGAGTTTTTGGTTTTGCTTTTTGCTTTTTCTGGGTGCTGGAATCGACATTTCGTGTTTGAGAACTCGTTCTTCTCTGGAAAACTTACTGTCTTTTTGGTTTGATCCTCGTTTTTCTTCAGAAGTTTGAATTTTTTTCACGAGTTTTGATTTCTGGGGTTTTGATATTCACTATCTTATATGTGTACTCTACCTCGAAATTCTTAGGTTTTGCATTGATTCTCATCATCTGATGCTATTTTCGTTTCGAATCTGATAATCCCATCATTACCTATTTTGAATTAGCCTCTGGGAAAGTTTGATCCTTTGCCGTTCATCTTACCTGTACGACGATGTTTTCTGTTTGTGCTGAAGAAAATTTTAGGAAAATAGATGTTCAAGGTTCTTATTTCTTCCAATTGATTTCAACTTTTTTTGGGAATAAAATTCAGATTGTAGCATAAAGTAGGAAAAAAGAAGGCCTAGCATCCTGCTAGGCTTATGATGATACTTAAAACGTACCCTAAGGACAGCAGACAAAGTGTCGGGATTGAGGTTTGCCATATTGTTTTTCTTACTGCTAAGTATGAAAAGTGAGACGACAACCTCAGATCCTCAAGAAGGGTCTTCCCATGGTGGTCAGAAAGGGAGACACGGGTATGCTCTCGTACTTTTCTGTTCTTCTTCTGTCGGTTCCTATCTTGATGTGGGTCAGTTTTGGAACTCTTTTGGAGCATTTGATGAGGCATTGTAAGGTAAATGTTGGAAGCTATACTTACGACTTGTGAAACACTTTTGTAGGAGGACATGTGGCCCTGCAAGACGATCCACCAAGGGACAATGGACGATGGAGGAGGTGTGTTCCCTCTTCTTTTGCTCTCTGTGTACTTCTTGTGGTGCTTTACATCATCTGTACCGGATAGGGTCTCAGTCTGGATTTGGGGTGGTGTCATGGATGAAGATAACATCTTTCTGGCTTCTTAGAGTTATACTTTCTTTGGTCATCTCATGTGTCACTTGCTGCTTTCTGTTTTGGCTGCATTTTGGATAACATCATTACTGGTCTTCGTTAGAGTAATTATTTTTCGTATAACGTGTATTCAGGATGATATCTTGAGAAAAGCTGTTGAGCAATTTAATGGAAAGAACTGGAAGAAGATAGGTAAGTCAAGAATCAATATGTTTCTGATACTGCTTTCTTCCTTTTCTTTTTTTTTGTTTTTAAATTCCAAGCTTTTGGAAACGAATTGTAATTTTTGTTTCTGTGTAATGTTTTAGTAATTCCATTGTCTATGGTAGTATGGTCAATGGTGCAAGCTCTATCTAACTGTTATGGTTCAACTTTTCAGCTGAGTGTTTTAAGGACCGGACTGATGTCCAGTGTCTCCATAGGTGGCAGAAAGTCTTAAACCCAGAACTTGTGAAAGGGCCATGGTCAAAAGAGGTGATATTCTAATTGTTGTTACCTTAGCTTTACATGCTTTCCTTTCTTATGGTCAGTGCTGTGGACTTGGATCTTTTAACATTATATGTATAATGTATTTGATGATATATTATTCTTTCGTATTTGTGAAGGAGGATGAGATAATAATTGAACTAGTTAACAAGTATGGGCCAAAGAAATGGTCTACAATTTCTCAGCATTTACCCGGCCGCATTGGAAAGCAATGTAGTGAAAGGTAAGAGCATAGACTCTGCTTCTCTTCCAATTGGTATCATGCTTTTATGCTATGCTTTTTAACTTTTGGTTGTTTGGTGACTCACATGAATAATTCTGTGATTGATATAGGTGGCATAATCACTTGAATCCTGCCATTAACAAAGAGGCATGGAGTCAGGAAGAGGAACTGACTCTTATCCGGGCGCATCAGATTTATGGAAACAAATGGGCAGAGCTGACAAAGTTCCTACCAGGGAGGTAAATAATGTCTTTCTTATGTTTTCGTGGGCTATATTTGTCGGTCATTTCCTAACGTTTACAATGTGTCCCGAGAAATGTGCTGATATCATATGAATACATTTTTTGTTGTTGCATTACCTATAGGTCCGACAATGCAATAAAAAATCACTGGAACAGTTCGGTTAAGAAAAAGTTGGATTCATACTTGGCATCAGGTCTTTTAGATCAGTTTCAAAGCTTGCCTCTCGCTGCCCCTCAGAACATGTCTATCCCTTCATCGTCTTCGCTGGTGAAAAGTAGTGGAGACAAAGGTGGTGTAATACCTGGAGTTGATGCAGAAGAATCTGAATGCAGTCAGGGTTCAACCATTTTTGGTTGTTTACAGTCTACCAACGATTTACCGGATGAGGTGAAGCCTGTAAATGAGGAATTATACTTTCCTGAAATGCCATGTGGAATCGAGCAACAAATCTCGACATCCACATCATGTGCAGAACCACACTACCCCACCTTTGAAGACGTCATGTTCATTGTTCCAGAAATATCATGTGAAGCAGAATACTCAACAAAGTTTTCAAATCCAAATTGCTCTCATGAGATTGAAACTTCTACAGCCATGGAATTTCAGTTAAATCTGCATGGTGTACCTAAAGATACCAAGCAAGAGCTTTGCCAAGACTCAAGTTTGTTGACTCATTGCATGGATGTAGATGGAAAAGATGAAGTGACCGGAACAGTTCAAACTTCAGTTGAATTAAGAGCTCCACCTTCTATACCAAGTCTGGATAAAGGTTCTCCACCACAATCTCAAGTTTTGATCACTGATGAGGAGTGTTGTAGGGTCCTTTTCCCAGATACCGTGAAGGATGAATGTACTTCCTCTGGGGCTTCTGAGCAAGGTCCAAGTGTAGTTAGCTCTCAAGAAAAAAAGGGGTCTTTTTGTCATCTGTCATCAGAAACGCAAGCTCATGAAACTGGCAAAATCTCAGCTTTGTCCTGCCATCCTTCAAGTTTGGATGTTATGGAAAGCCGTCAGCATGTTGCTTTGTTACTTCCTGCAGACAAGGATTTGGATTTAGACTGTAAGGCACCCGATCAAGGCTATTATCTGCTTGGAGCTAAAGAGTCGGAACATAAAACAGATACAGATGCTGACTTCATTTACCTTGAGGGGCCTGAAAATTCCCATGGTAATGGTGATTACAATGGTAACTCAGATCCGCATGACCTATCATATATTCCAAAGGATACCTTGAAATTAGTCCCTGTGAATAGTTTTTCTTCTCCTCCTCCTCCTAGAGTAAACCGGATTTTCTTTCCTATTAACAACAAGCCAGATGATAAAGACACGGGGGCTCTATGTTATGAACCTCCCCGTTTTCCAAGTGCAGAAATTCCTTTCTTTAGCTGTGATCTTGCACCATCAAGTAGTGATTTACAGCAAGAGTATAGTCCCTTTGGCATCCGCCAGTTAATGGTCTCTTCCATGAATTGTATGGCTCCATTTAGGTTATGGGATTCACCATCTCGAGATGGTACCAATGATACTGCAAAATTCTTCAATGGTCCACCATCCATCTTAAAGAAGAAGCGGCAACGTGACTTATTGTCACCCTTGCTCGATAGGAGAAAAGACAAAAAGCTTGTAAGAGATGTAGCATTCTCCTTGGCTAAAGATTTTTCACGTTTAGATGTCATGCTTGATAGGAGAGATGATTGCACATCTGAATCTCCTTGCAATAGAAATGCACCTTATGAAGGCAAAGAAAGTAGGGCTTGTGGAACTGGTGGTTTAGCTCAAGAATCAGTAGTTTCAGATGTTAAAGACCTAAAGGAAACCTCTGATTCTCAGAATAAGGCAGAGGGAGTGACTTCTACGACAAATGCAGAGGCATGGAATGGGGGCAATGCTTCCGTACAAAATGTAAGTTTGTCGTTATACTTGCATACCTTTTGTTCTGGAGTTTTTAATTCCGCCTGGCTTCATTCCGTTTCTGATATCTAATATATACTCCCTTTGATGGTGATAATGATCTTATTTTTCAAGTGCTAAAATCTTCAATAATCTTGCCTTCGAAGCTTGTAGCCTAATTTATTCATCTTGTGCTTGCCTTTTGCACCAGGACCTCGAAAATTCTGGAATTCTTGTTGAGCATAATAATAATGATCATCAAGAGTTTTCTCCGAATCAAAATGGAACTAAAGCAGACAAAAACACGATGTCAAACACAAAAACTCCAATAAACCGATACAAAAATTCCCTAGGTACTCCAAGACGGGGAAATCCTTCAGAACCTCCTCGCCCTGCAGAATCTGTCCCCTCATCTGCTACCAAAGGGAATAAGACTGACGTTGCAGAGAATGGAAGCTTTGAAAATCTTGGAATGTAAGTTTGTAAATGCAGTTATTATTTTGTGTTTCATGCCTTAAACTGATACAGTATCAAATTTTCTCATGTTTGCTTGAAAATTTCTTCTAATGTTATCCTACTTCCTCATTCGTTTCCAGATTCAATGGAACCCCGTTTAGAAAAAGCCTAGAATCTCCTTCCGCATGGAAGTCACCTATGTTCTTCAGTTCTTTCTTCTCAAGTCCAACGTTTCCTACAGAAATGACAATTGAGGTAGTATAAGATTGAACTAGTTTCAGGATGTTCTTCGGTTTCCAGAGCTTGTTTTGAAGGCATTCAATTGGTTCTTTCTTTTCAGGATATCGGGTGCCTTATGAGTCCTGGGGGGAGAAGCTATGACGCCTTAGGACTGATGAAGCATTTGAGTGAACACACTGCAGCAACATATGCGGATGCTTTGGAGGTTTTGGGTAATGACACTCCCGAAACCATACTCAAGAAGAGGCAGCTTAGAAAGTCTAATCACGGTAAAGAAAACCAGTATCATCCCCATGATGATCAGCTAGAAAATCATTCCCATACAGCGGCTTCAACTGTTACAGTACGTATCAGATACCCTCTACTCGACTTAAAACAACTTAACAACATCCAAACCCATGTCTGGAAAAGTTGTTTGCAGTTCTGTCATATTACAACATCAGTTCTAGGATAACTTCACTGAACAATATTTTTGATATTGTGATATATCATTTCCAGTTTATTCAGAGCCAAGTTGCGGAAATCGTGATGCAGGTGGAGCGGCGTACGCTGGACTTCAGTGACTGCGGGACACCAGGGAAAGCAAAGGCTTCCTCCTCTGTTTCTGCAAGCCCCTCATCTTTCCTCTTGAAGAGTTGCAGATAGAGAGAAGGTTTGTTGTTTTGTTCATATCTCTCAGAGCAAAACCCCATTCAGATTCTTGCCATTTATATCTGTAGATTGTTATTATTCTCCTCCCATGCATGTATGTGTTCTTTTTCCAACCCTTTCTTTTTTCT